TTTAGCTAAGATTATAATCACAAATAATTTGTGGCAGTTTATAATACTATCATTATTACTGATATCAGTATCAGTATGGGTATTAACCCCCTACTGTCTGAAATTCCCCATGAGATATAGTTTTTAAAAAACTGTATATGTACGATTCTGTAGCATGATGACAAATTTGCCAACACAGAGTTTGTTTGCTGGATACTATGCTCTTATTGGATTTCACGTTTCAAAGCAAACATTTGATCATTCTGCAATTTTGCTTTCTTAGTTATCTCATCATCATTAGGAAGGTGGCATTTGCTAAGGAGCATATATGCTTCTACTGATTCCTTTAGGTTTGGAATGGTTTATTTCTCTCATTATTTTGTGTTTAAATTCTGTTTCACCATACATTCCCTGATATATCTTCTTTTTATCACTTCTGTTATGTAAACGTAAGTAGAATTATTTAGTGGTTTGCGAATTTATCACTGATCAGCATTTTGAATGTGTTTTTCAGAATTCGTGTTGGAAATACTGGTAGACCCTATAATATGATAAGAAAGTGAAATTGTCTGTATATATATATATATATATATATATAACAGATGTAACAGATGAATCCTTATCTACTCTTAGATTTGTTAAGTATTTTTCAATTCGCTTATGTTTTCATTATTATTTGATGATGCAAATGGATTATAGATGGTTGTATATGAGTAACTCAGACAAGTTTAATGAGTTTGCATTGAAACAATGTCGCTGAAGTTTATCTTTTATTGAAACGTTTAGCTGTCAGATACTGATAATTTTATTTATTGTGTATCCCTGAAAATATTTGATGTTGTGCACTGCTACAAGCCACTATGTTTTGATAAATATCTATGTACGTTTTAAAATATCCAATCGAAATCAAGATTTCAGTAGTTAATTAAGAAAATATAATGATCACACTCCCGCCAGTTCTGAATTTCATCACTGTAAAGAAAATGAATGATTTTGTCATCTTAATTTTTCGATAACTGAACTTTGCTGATGATCTTTATTTGAATAGCTGACAAGTGGATTGCTTATAGTATACTAATGGAAAAAGTAGAACTATCCGTCTGTTTAGACTGCACACATATTTTATCGGTTAAAATAATCAATAAGTTAACTTTAAGGTAACATTTTTCCGTATATTACTACCACTAATAATAGTAAATGCTTGACTAAGACTAAACTGGGGAAAAACATTTGTGAAGGTTGTTTTTGTCATGATTACAGTTATATTTGTTTGGCATTTGTGTAGGATTGAGAAACATTTTTCTCCTTAATACAGTATAATTCAAAAGAGAATGAAGTAATTAGATTTTCCTTTTGATACTTTTCAAAAGTTTGTCTTTTTTCTATTTTGAGACATGGAAGAGAGATTTACATTTTGGTTGCTTGGAGAAAATAAAAGAAACCTTTGGAATCAGGTTTCGTGTTTATTATCTGTCATTGGCAAGAAGTACTTACATAGAACTGATGTTCACCCAGAATTTCAAACCTACATCACGATGTGCTGCATTTAAATACATTACTAATGAAACCTTATGGTACTAAAAACTCTATAAGTTAACATTAATTGTCACCTAGTGAAAAGTCAGTGTAGTCGTTAAATTACTACATGTAGGTGGAGATGTAGCCCATTGGTTTAAGAACCCAGTTTGCCTCCAGTGGGTCGTGGGTTCAAGTACCTTTCCATCTATCCCCATCCTGGGCAAATAGGTAGTATCATCGACCCTCACACGATAAGTGTTACCCATAATCTGGTGCTTGCGAAGTATTTTTTTTATTTATTTTTTGATTATAGCTTGAAGCCACACAGTATTTTTGGTACAAGTATGAATTTCAGCATGTGATATCGGTAGCCCAAATTTTGCAGGCCGACCATAGATATCAGGTGTGCGTCGGCAGTGGTCAAACCCCGGACCATGTGTATGGTTGGCGAGAGTTCTAACCGCTGTAATCGAGCTTAAAAATAGTAATCTAGAATGTTAGTCGCGACATGAGTAGCTGATTGGTAACGTCTCTAATTGCAGTACATGTGAACAAGGCTCAAATTTATGAAGATACTTCGGTTACATATAGGTTGCAGAATTTCATTTCTGATGACAGTCAATATGAATAGAATTTGAGTCCTCGACTTTCTCTAAACATCCTTCAAATTTTCAACAGTTACTGAACTCCTTTAAGTACGTTTAGTCAGTGTACATAAGGATTTCAGTGAATTCTAAAATAATGTTAATTTATCTTCACAGTTAGTATTTACTTTCTCTGAAGAATAGATAATAGAGAACATTGATCAGCAGTTCTCCATGATTGTTTAAACATTTCAATTTTATGTACTACATATCGTTTCATTGAACTTTTCTTTCCTAATATGAGTTAAATTTTGTATGACTTCAAGTGAACTGATTAAATTTGACAACCTAGATATCTTCAACAAAGTGAATGAATGTTTGTAATGAGTAATACAAAAATATTGCGTACTGGTTACCCTAGTTGAGACTTGATTTACATGGTAGTGAGTTAAGACTTTGATTTGAGTTTCACTGTTGTTTTACACTGTTTTATAACTCTAGGGATGTAATGCTATTTCTTGAGTTTATTTTCTTTGCTTAGGAAAATATAAAGTAAGTTGTTAAGACAATTACACTCCTTTTGTTAATTTAATGCTTTTATTTAATCACTCATTAGTTTATTAAGGCTTCGGGTTTATTAAAGTAATAAAGTCGTTTTTTTGTGGTTACTCCATAATATTTTGATCTCTGTGATCAGAATAGTTACATCATATAACTGGTTTTATATTCTGAAATCATACAAGTTGAATATATATTTCACTATCATATTCAGACTTCAAGCCTGCCTTCATTTTACCAGAAATCATTCTCATATTGTCTGACTGCTGAAAGTAGACTTTAATATATTTTCTTTGAAATTTTAGATGAGAAGTGACTGGTGAAGTAAATTTTCAATCTACTATAAGGCTTCTAGTAACCACATTATATTATTAGCTTTGTAAGTGGTTTGACCCATAAATAGTAGTAGTGGACACCTTATTAATCGAAAAATTTCATTTGTGGATGATATTTCTTTTCTGGGATTCTGTCATTCATATTTATTTACTTAACTCTGTTATCGATCAATACACTTGTATTTATCTTAAGTGAAAAATAAACTAAATGTATCGTGCATACTTTATACCTCTTTGGCTAAAGCATAGTACAATTATACTACACAGGTTGATGATCCAACAATACTGTTTTCTTTTAATTCCTTCACGTTACCAGTGAAACATAGGGCTTCAAGCCAAAGCTTTGAAGTTTCGGTAGCAGTGGTGTTTAGTTTTACTGGATGGGGTTGCTAGCTACATGCCCAACCTTTCCTCTTTACCAGTCTTATTTATGGCTTGGCTAGGTAAAAGAGTTGGTAAAGGAGTGCGGCGGCCGGAGATCTAACCCCGGACCGCATGCGTGGTCGGCGAGCATTCTACTGCTGTGCCACCGACGCACAAACAATATTATAAATCTGTTTAATTTCTATATGTGTGTACATTTTTAAACATACTTTTTGAGGATGATTACATTTGAGGTTGTAATTAGCTCCAGAGAATGTAGTACTGTACAGTTTTTGGTATGATCATCACTAGATAAATGACAAATAAAATGTGCCTTCAGATTCCAAATGTCGTAAAGGCTTAAAACATTTGAGACCTCATGAAAATTGTTTTGTAGTAGTCTTAAGGTCTGAACCGAATTAATCTATAACTTAAAATCTTCACCAGTCAAATTCAGATAAATTACCAGATTAAAGTCGAAAAAGAACAATAAAGCTTGCTTCCGAACAACTTTTATAAGTCTGCTTCATTCTTTTTTAGCAAAATCTAATTTCTTTGACTTTATTTTTATTAGTTATCAGTGTGATGTTTGAATTTACTACTATCAATTATAAGCATTAATGTCACAAACTATTGCTCATAGTCATATCAACTTGATATGACTATGAGCAATAGTTTGTGCTCGAAACGTCATCAGTTAATATAACTGTACTACACTGTGTGATTTATCAAAATAAAATCTTATCCATTATGGAATTATACTCTACCACAGTGCCCAAGTTTTATACTTATATGTAAATATTTCTCCCCTGGGTTCCTTGTGGAACATAAGGCCTCAACCGCACATCTCCATTACACTCTTTTCTCTCGAATCTTTTTTTAAGATGCCTCTATATTTACCCATAAGCTTGAAGTATGCGCTGAAGATGTTGCCTAGTAGGGCAATGAAAAATTCGCAAATAAACCATCCAGCTCAGAGAACACAACTACATCAAAGCTTTCATTTCCTCCTCACACGATCTCCTCCATGTCACTCCTCGATGCCCAACTTGTCGAATCCCTTTCGGGTTCTACTTGATGTTGTGACATACACAACTTGTGTAATTTTATAAATCTTATTGAGGTAACAGTAGGTAACAAATTATCCTTTGAGTAGAAGTTTATCGCTCTTAAATGACAATAGTGTGAATCAAAAATGATACAGAAATATTTATGCACGCTGATGCCTTTAGTTTCACTAATGAAATAAATAAGACACTCTGAGGCAAACCCAGGTTTCAAATTCTTTATTATTGTTGAGAATACATATTACGAAGGATTAACAAGTGATTCAAATGACATCACTAATTAACAAGCTACTGTTCATAATCAGGGAAATAAAATATTAGTGGAGTAATATAAGAGGAATTCTGACCTATTAACATTTTATATAGTCATGTTTTATAAGTACCCAGTTCTAGAACAACAGTTTTGATATACTTTGTAATCAGTTGTCCAATGTAGGGAAATCTGTATAGCTTTTTCTGGATATGTTCGATAATGCCATAGCTAGTTTTTATGCATGTAATTTACTTAACAAACGTATCAAACAAGATAATTGATCAGATTTTCAAAATTAATTATATGGATATATGGAAAAGTCAGATAACTTTTATTAACTTACTCAACTAAATTTATTAAGCCGTTACTGCAAGCCCAGTGTAATAAGGGCATTCCTTCAGATCTCCATGACTCATAATCTAATCCATGAGCAACTAAAGCTTTAATAACATTTTCATCTCCACCTCCACGCATAGCATAATGTAAAAGAGTAGTTCCAAACTGATCAACATAATTCACATTGGCTCCATGTTTTGAAAATGTACCGACTGCTTCACTGTCAGATCGCATACATGCCGTTTGCAATGATGTAGTTAGTATATCTGTAGGAATTTTATGTTTACTCAAATATCGGTCTAATCCTTGATAGTCCTGCACTTGTAGAAACGCATTTATCACGCGTACGGGACTACCTCCTCCAGAGACAGCACTTGCAATTTTAGCGGCCACCAGACGTTTACCTTCAGATGGAGTGAGTTCACTAGTTGTACTGGCCATTTGAAATTGAAAATTAAATCAGTTCAGTTTTTGTTATCAGTGAGCATAAAATTCAGGCGTTAGGTTTTTTTTAATGTTCGGCGAGTATTAAATTCTGAGAAAGAATTGACCACAACTTAAGTATTTGCACATATGAATGTAAAATACTAAACTATTAATCGTATGCATTTACATATTTTTATATGGATTCAGTAATTTAGTTAGCTACTGGTTCATTTTTGCTGCATGTCTGTTGTCTGACATTTTCATCCCTTTTAGGCCGTAAAGGGTTGGTTGAAAACTCTCAACCCAATGTGTCTTGCCTTCATTCCTAATCCACACATGTATTTCTTATTGCCTGATCATTGTAAAAAAAAATAAAATATTTTGTGTTCAAATAAAATAATACATGAAGACGATGGAAAGAATTTTGTGCTAACAGTATGTGTATATTTGCCATTCATGTTATTTTCAGGCTGTTCAACAGCGGATGCACACAGTCAGCGATGATGACGTGTTGGTGCTTCATCCGTGAACTTTAATTGGTCTTTGCTTAGAGAAAACCAGTTATTATTTAATTAGATATGCTTATGATTTTATGAACATTAGTTTAATTCATTGTAGGCCAGTGAATTTAAAAGCCAAATAATTCGGTTATAGCGACAATAGAAATTAAGATGGATAACTTTTTACTATTCTAATTTTTTACTCAGTAACCGATATTTTACACATTGGTTAAGTATCATTATTGGAATTAGATTACCCAGGTTATCATAGTGAATCGGTAGATGACTAAGACTTGGTACAGCAATTTTAATTTGTGCATCAGTATCTGTATATAGCCAAATTGTGTATACCATATCTTCAGCGCACTATTTGCACATATATTCGTGCTGTGGTATTTCTGAACTTCATGTTGTGTTTCTTTGTGTTCCTTTCACGTCTCTCATGTATCTACACAACGCTATATCATTTATCTCCTCTGAAATTAAATGTATCTCCCTGCCATTTGATATTTTTATACCAATGAATGTCTCTTTACATACTACTAACAAATCTTATCAGTAGCACTCACCACAATAGTGCAGTTATAATTATGATCACTTTTATTAAACCTCTTTCACAATCACGCTAATTAGTTTGTTATTATACACATAGCCAACTTATTCTTGATTAAGTGGGTTGCCTTATTCATTTATATGATTATTTTGTACGCTGCTACCTGCATAAATTTAAATGGAAAAGCAAAGGTACATTAATGCAATTGGTCTTAAGGGATGTTTGTGAACTACGGATAGATATTAGTGCTTTCATAATACAATAATTTAATTTGGTATAACAAACACATTGATACAATATCATTTATTGGCTGATGACATTTCAAGCACAGTTTGTTATTCGTAATCGTATCATGGCATCCACATAAATTTCAAATGTTTTTGTTATCATACTACTCCTTATCTTCTGATTTCAATAGTAATACTCTTTTGAAGCATCAGTGTGCAGGTATTTCATCATATATACATTTCCATATTTCCACTACTGGTGTTGCGTCTTTCCTACTGCAAGTGTTTGATGTAGATATGATGAATTAAAACTCAGTGGTCGACCTTTATATCTTAGAACTATAGCTGTGTCCAACTGTGTTTTGCAACTGTCGAATCCTTTCTTCTATATTGGGAATTTTATAGGGCCTTTCATTCTATACTACTGTGGAATTATGCTCTACCACAGTGCCGATATTCTATTCTTATATGAGTGTATATTAGTGCGAATTAATTATTTAAGTGAAGTAAGTTCTGTTCAGTGACAGATTAATGGGATGTGAATAATTATTCCCCAGTGATTTTTCTAAACAACACATAATGTGGTAATGTTCACTGATTTACAAAAAGAAAGAGAAACCAGTTATTCTCTGAGGAATTTTCACTTCTGAGTTTCAATTTTGACAGATATTCGTATAGTGTTGTAATTTAAACCTTCCAGTGTCATTTGTTCACAAAGTTTTCACGGCTGACGTAACATTTTTTAGAAATATTTTTAAACATAAATAGGAAAAAAGATTTCATGAAAAGCATTTTTGTAAAGCTGCCTAATTTCAGAATGAAATCAACAAATCTTTGAATATTGTGAGCACAATAACTTATGCTGCAAAATCTTCTGAATAATATCATTAGTTGTGAATTGTGTACTCTTACTAGTTTGGAATAATTACTCTCTTGTTTTGTCTTTTATATAAGTTTACTTTCTTGAAAAATTGCATAACTATCAGCTGAAAAATTCACAGATGTTCCCCATCTTATTAAGCAGGCAAAAGTAGCTTTCTGTTTTCTGTAAGAAATTAACAGCTGCCTGCATTTACACAAACCAGGCAGTAAAATTTATGACCAGAGGTGCATAAATACACTTTGACTACTACTTATCTAAAAGAAACTTTTAATAAATTAAACAAAGAATACTTATAGTTTTTCTTTTGTTTTAATATATCAGCAATAATAAAAAGAAGACGACAGGTGAATACTGATGTCAATGTTCGTTATATTTCAGCAGATTGACTTATTAGGCAAACAAAACTTTGTGGTGTTATATGACTGGAAGCAGTCAGTAGGAAAACCTGACTGAACCTAGGTTGGCAATCATCAGAAAGGCACATCCACAACCTTGAAGGAACTGATGTCCCTTCGGAGATTCAAACCAGCGTCACCCAGTGCTGCAGTCAGAGACATTGCCACTGAGCTATTCAGGCTAGCGATTGACCTCCTTTGGGGCTATATTGGATATTTTTGATTGAACACTAGTCAGTAACTATTGTCATGTGTTTGTGCTCAGTCCGATCTTGGGTACAAACTGAATTGTATCAGTCAAGTTTTCAATGTGGCCGCCATTCTAGGTGGCTTGCCATCACAATGAACTGTGGATTGTGAGGGTTTGGATCTCAGAAGAGACATGAGTTCCTTCAAGGTTTCAGATTCAACTTACTGATTGGTGAGTGTCAACCAGCACGAAACCTAGGTCGAAGGCTTCCTGCCGATTTTCTTCAACCATCTTATACTAACAATTCACAGAGCACCGTAATGGTGAGGCACCTAGTGGAAATGGTGTCAAACTTAACTGATAGAATTCAGTCTGAATCAAAGATGGGAGTAGACACACACACACACATTACACTAGTTGCTGACTAGTGTCCAATCAAAAACTTTTCAATTTCACTTTAGGTCTACATATCAATTTTTACTATATAAAGCATAAGCATTACAAAGTGCTAAATAACAACTATTTTGATCATGTGAGGAATTTAAAAATGGGTTCAATATTCATGGTACGTCTAACTAATTAAATTAATTGATTGATTCTGCTGCCAACTACAGTGTATCCAGAATGGAAACGCATTCGCTAGATTTCTCAGCTTTCATAATATTTACTTAAGAAATATAATAAATTTCTTGAGTAAATTTACGGGAAAAAATAGTGTTATAATTTAAATCTCACATCGTAATCTACAGAAAGTATTCACGTTCTACAAGTCTATTTCACTCATTAATTTTACCAATTAATAAATTCAGTAACCATTAGGTATTGGTTTAACACTCTGTGGCTAGTATAAAAAGTGATGTACCATATCAAAGTAATCATCATTCTTACGCATAATGAAGGCATACGGATGAAACTTCTTAAAGATGACTTTGGAGTTATACAACTAATATCCAGTAGTTATCACTCAGTTAACTTCTCTATGAAATGTTAATAATAATATATGTGTAAAACTTCGGCACTGTGGTAGTAAGTAATTCCATATTAGTTTGTTTATTAGGTATATCACACAATGAAACAGTATTATTCACTGGATGACGTTTCGAACAAAATTTATTGTTCATAATCATATCAATTGTGATCATACGACTTTGACACTTGAGTTTTATAGCTTTCTTTGTTTTCTCCTATTTGTCGTATGGGTAGTAGAATTTTCCAGATATCGGGGACAGGTGATGAATCATTCCTATTACATGTATTTGTAGTTGATTCGATAAACAAAGCTTCTGTTATCAATCTTTCCCTCCCTATACCCTGTGACATTAGATTTTAAAAGTGTCATCCTATCCCATCCTATTGTATTTTTATTTTCTTCACGTTCCCCAGTGGAACATAGGGCTTCAAGCTAATGCCTTGAAGTTTCTGTAGGAGTGTTTATTTTACAGGATGGGGTTGCTAGCCTCATGCCCAACCTTTCCTCTTCACCACCATTATTTCTAACTTAGCTAGGTAAAGGAGTGCGTCTGTGGCCGGGGATCGAACCCCGGACCATGTGCATGGTCGGCGAGCGTTCTAACCGCTATGCCACCAATGCCATCCTATTATATAGTTGTGTGTAACTGCATATAGTGCTATAGCTGAACTATTCTCTAGATTTCTTATTTTATTCGGGTCAACCATTCTAGATTTTGCCAAGTTTTTATGTTCAGCTAGTCTAACTGCCCCTGTTCTACTACTTTGACCTATGTATTTGACCTGACAATCATTTCAGCAGGGTATTAGATAAACTAAATTGCTTTGTTTTAAAGGCTCTACAGGATCCTTTAGCCGACAAAGCTTGTTTCTAATTGAGTTTGTGGGTTTGAATGCCGTTTTTATTCCTGCCTTGTTGAGAATTCTGCGTAAGGCTTCCGAGGTTCCTTCCTTGTATGGAATTACTACTGATGATTTAGATTCTTTATTGTTGGTGTCGTCATTAATATTATTATTATCATCACTAATATTATTATTATCATTATTATTGTTATTAGCACTATCGCTACTATCATTATTTACTTTATTTTTACATTTCCTTACATATTTCCTGACTAATTTATCCGGGTAATTAATAAGTCTCAAAGCTTCTTTTATGTGTATCAGTTCCTGTTTTAGATTTTCTTTGGTACTACTTAATTGTTGTGCTCTGTCATTTAAACATTTCATCAATCCTATTTTTACTGACATAGGATGGGATGGTTGGAAGTCCAAATATCTGTTTGAGTGTGTGGGTTTCCTGCAAACACTAGTGTTTAACTTCCAATCTTCTTTTCTCTTTACGTTGCAATCTAACATTGGGAGCTCCCCTTCCTGATTTTCCAGTTCATAACTGAATTGAATTGCTTCAACCTTCTAGTTAATGTGTTCGAACACATATATAGCACTAAACTGACAAGAA